TTCGAATTTATTGTTTTTGTGAAGGCACAAAAACCAATAAATTTTCATGTACACATCTACAAAGACTACAACAGTTTACCCACTTTCACACTACAGCTCTACATACTTACACTGAAGTTATAAGGAGTGTTTCAGTTCAGATTCCTTTTTGAATGAAACACAATGCAGGGCAGCCAGTCAGAAAAGAGCTCAAGATCGGTCTTAAAGCTGCAGTAACAAAAACAGCCTGTTTAATTCAAAGGGATAAAGAGAGGGGAAAATGGTCATGTAAAGATTAATTACAACTGTGTCTGGTACACAAACAGACACAAATATTGTGAGTATTATATACTTACGGGAAAATAAAGCACAATAAAAATGTAGATTGTGGACTCTTTAAAGTTGTCTTGGTAATTTTTCTCTTCATTTAATTATTTGGCTTTATACAGAAAACAAATCTAAAAGGAATGAGAAGTAACATGATTCTTATTCCCAACACTGCTAAAGAGGGGAAAATAGGAATCTGTGATCCAAACTTGCAAAATGGAACCTGATTCTTCTTGAACGAACACGAGAACTCGACTCTTCAGAGCAGGCATGTCAAACTGGGAACCTTCCGGGCCAAAGTGCTGTGGAGATAAGTGGTTACCCTCATCTAACGCTCTGAATTCTGTTCATGAAGGCCTTGCTAATTAGCTGATGAGTTGAATCAGGTGTGTTTAATGAGGCAGTATGCTGAAGTTTGTAATGTTTTGGCCCACAAGGACTGGAGCTTCACACGTGCTTTAGAGTAACAAGGGTTCTATCCTGTGGTGGCATAGTCTGTGCATAATGGAAATGATTATGGGGCCATTTCATATCTGGTCCGGAGATCTCACTGATCTTGCAGCCACATCTTGGAGCCATCACATAAAAAGTGATGTCAAGTGATGCTGTTCGATCTTTTTCTCCAAAAACATTTCTTAAATGCAAGCTTGTTCAAAAACTGCCAGCTTTGATTTCAGATGCTGTGATAACTCTGATCTGGGTGTGCTGCTGATGTGAGAGGGATAGGAGGATCTAAAGCAGAAGTCAAAGCCCCACAATAAAGCTGGTATGATCTGCACAGTTTTAATATTTAACTGATGTGTGAGATATGCAGGAGTTTTCCCTATTACTGAAAAGTGTTACAGGCCTATTACGGGCCTTCTCACATAAATGCCTGCTACCACACACACACACACACCCTCTGCCTTGCGGCACTCTTGCTGTCTCTCTTGCCAGGAGAACAAGAGAGTGAAAAGAACAAAGTGGTGTCAGGCGATGGAGACAGGAGTGTGATCAGAGTCCTCCGGTGTGTGAACTCTGATCTGAGCTCTGGCTTAACACTGCTTACACACTGGAATCTTCTAGAGTCATCTTACTGTTCCGAGCGTGTCTGGCAAAGTCTTCTTCTCATCACTCAAACGACTTCTGCCGTCAGGCAAGAATCGGATGTTTAAAGGTACCGCTGCACCGGAGCTTTCTAATGTTTACCTTCATCACCTAGAGGAACAGATATGGCGTCCTTGCTTAGATGACTCCATTTTCCTTCTTACTTGAGAGGAATGGTTACCTTGCTTACCCCAAATGTAGTTGATCAGCCCAGACCTGTTTGTTGTGAGAAGTTTGCTCCTTTTGTTTTGCACTGGAGATATGAAGCTAATGTAGCTCCATGCTAATGTAGGTTTATTCACCAAAAGCAGTTGCAATACATTTTTACATGGTCATTTTCCAACCTCTGTTTATCCCTAATTAAACTGACTGTTTTCGTTATTCTGCCTTTAAGACTGTTATATGTAAATGACATCTGTTCTGATAGGCCGCCTTGTATTGTGCCTACTTCAAAAAGCAGTCTGAGCTGAAATCCTCTTCAACATAAATGATAGGAGCTAAACTATTTGTATCTTGTTGTATATGTTGTGTATATGGTTCGTTTTGAAAATGGTTATAGCACCAAAAAGGGTTCTTCTATTGTTAGAAGCTTGTCATTGTAACGATAGAAGAACCCTTTTTGGTGCTATATAGAACCACTTTTAAAAGACTTTGTATAGAACCATATACAACCCATTGTCCATCCATCTGAAGATGTAGAAAACCATTTCAGCATTAATAGAACCATTCCCTTAAAAAAAACCTTGAAGAACCATCTTTTTAAGAGTGTACATAATGTTGATGGTAAAATAGTGATAAATTCTTTGTACACTCTGCATGTTTGGTTTAAACATATGTTTTAGGTCAAGGTTTATCTCTAAAACAGTCATATAACAGTAATTTAGTCATCAAGCAACACATTCGTAGTAACTAAAGAATCTTTTAGGGCATTAAAAGCTTCAGATGTCAGTTTCTTATCACCACCACAGTAAACACTTCTGACTCAACAAGTTTCTCTAGAAGGCACCAATCCATGTTTACATCTTAATAATTTATCTGTGCAGAAATCTATGAAAATCAGAATTCCACTTCGGCAGCAACTAAACGTATAGCTTATCCTGTATGACAGTACAAATGAAAAGGTTTAGTGAAGGAGAGTGATTACAAGGCCCACTGCTGGGTGCTGCTCTGCACATTTGTGTATTTTCCTTGCTCTTAGTCCCCTGACTCATCTCCATGAAGGGATTGATAAGAAGGTTTAAGAAGTCTGCCGTTGACAAATTACACCCAGGCCATTAATGGCGACAGGCTCTTTTCATTCCCTAACAGGTCTGTAATGAAAACGGCAATTAGACTCTGTTTAACATACTGATACTTGGATGAATACACCGTAGAATAATGTATTGTGCATGTTAAGCTTTTTAAAGCTCCCTGTGGACGTCATTGCAGGCGCGCTGAACTTGCGGCAATGCAGCCTCGCTGTCTGTTTCTCTCTTTCTCACTTACACTCTGTTTCATCCATCCTTTCATTCCCTGCTATTCTGCAGCTTGTCTCTTTCTCTCTCACGCGTGCGGTTCTTTCTTTCTTCTTTCCTCCCTCATTTTCCTCCCCCTCTCTATCTTTTTGCATTAATGCTGCAGTGTGTTAGATGAGAAAGGAGGTCAAGCTCAGTTTAATCTTTTCCTTTTTCTTTTTTTTATTGGTGAGTCAAAAGACAGCCATTTTCTCTTAAAGCCTAACAGCTCGTGTTTTTCTGACCTCACTTATTTCATCTTTTCACTCTGTAGATGATTTTCTCATTGATATTCTCCTCTTTGCTTATGGTTTAAGCATTTGGTCAAGCACAGGTTGGTGATTATGTTATAGGATTCCACCCCAAGCTGGTAATTGTGTGTGTGTGTGTGTGTGTGTGTGTGTGTGTGTGTGTGTGTGTATGTTGAGACGGTGCTTTGATGTGGTATTAGCAGCCACTGCTAAGGAACCCCTCACTCTTCACATCTCCCTGTTCTTTTTTTTTCTGTCCATCCAGCTTTCGAAGACTTTGCACCATGCTCCACTTGATCTCTCCCCAGGCACGATGAACCTTGAGAGAGATGGAGAGAGAAAGAAAGAGCTCTCAGTGTGAATCTGTCTCGTATCCACTATCTCCTTGCTCCTTCCTCTCCTTGCTTAGGGCTAGAGCACTCATCAGTACTACACAGTTAAACACAGTCAAGCTTCACTGAAAACGTTTAAACAGAGGACCTTTTTTATTACAGCTACTAGTTCATGTCCTTTTTGTTTTGTTTTGTTTTTTTTTTCTGTAGGGATTTTTGTTTCTCCCTCATTTCCAGAGGCTATTTCCAATGTAATAGGTTTCCTCTCTCTGTTGTTCTAAAGCATCGCTTGTTTTAGAGGGTAAGGACATTTTTTGAACGTGGCTACAAACAAGCTTGTCAGCATTGAATGGTTCTAGGTGGAATTAGAACATCTGTGGGGTTGAAATCTATGGCTGAGACTACTTTCTTGATTTATTGATAATTATTGATAACAGCTATGAAATTGATTAGTAGAAATGATTGTTTCTTTTGGTATTCTTTCTTTTACCTGGCGTGAGTGAGTGTCGTGTGTGCTAGGGCACATGACACAAGAATCAGTTTTTTTAATGGTGAAGTATAGTTTAATGTTTAGTTGTTGTGAGGACCCCTAATTGATTTTTACAGATTTAATGCATTGAAATCTGAAAATCTCATTTTAGGGCCCATATTCCATATTTTTTGTATGTGTTTTATTTTATCCCCATTTTCTGACCTCTCTTTATCCCATACAATTAAATAGGCTGTTTTTGTTACTGTGCTTTCACATTCACTTCAATGTGAATGGGTGGGGCTTAACTAACGTAGGCTGAAACAGTGAAACAGTGAACAGTGAAAATTTAGCAATGTTTACATACTTCATCAAACAAGAAAACTTTGATTTATGATGATATGAGCCTTTTAAAAACAAGGATGTAGTAAGACACCACGGAAGAAGTGGATTCATTGAGTAGTAATGGTAATGTTTCTTTCATTCAGTGGACACAAAGATGCAGACACTGGTTAGCAGCCTATTCTGCTAAAAAAAAAGTTACAACAGCCCAAGGAGTTCCACCAACTCCGCAGCAGCATGCATGTGTGTGTGTGTGTGTGTGTGTGTGTGTGTGTGTGTGTGTGTGTGTGTGTGTGGTAGAGCTTAAAGCTCTGCTACAGCTTGAAGCTCCAAGCATTAATATGAGTGAACAAATGATTAGAGCAACCATGAGCTCTAATCTGGTAAATGGCATTAATGTTGATGTGTATGTTTTTAAAAAGTCACATTTTTTTTTGGTGTGAAAAAGCTGTTACACTTTGTCACGCTCTCTGCCACAAATGGAAACTATCTTGGATGTACTGAATGTGTAACTGCAAAATAAAAAAAAATAATAAACAAACTTTATTTATTAATTTATCTATTTTATCTCAATTTATAGATTGTTTTGTTAAACTCCATATAGTCCAAATGATCAACTCCAAATCATCCATATGGGCCAATTTCTGTGAGATAATGTCCTTGAAAGTGTAAACATTGTTTGATAGATGTGATATTCTGTGTGTGTCTTTGTTGTTGTTAGGTCAGGAGCGGTTTGGGAACATGACCAGAGTATACTATAAGGAGGCAGTGGGAGCGTTTGTCGTCTTTGATGTGACCAGAAGCTCTACATTTGAGGCTGTGTCAAAGTGGAAGCATGATTTGGACAGCAAGGTGAAACTTGCCAACGGCAACCCCATCCCCTCTGTACTGCTGGCCAATAAATGTGACCAGAAGAAAGACGGGTCCAACAATGCCTCCCTCATGGACAACTTCTGCAAGGAAACTGGCTTTCTGGGCTGGTTTGAGACGTCAGCTAAGGTAACGTTTATGTATATATATGTTTGTGTATGAATGTATGTATGTCTCTATATGTATCTGTGTAGATACTCCTACCTTGTATCCTTGTATCTACACTCATTTGTCCATTTTATCAGCTCCACTTACAACCCCAATTCCAAAAAAGTTGTGACGCTGTTCAAAATGTAAATAAATGTAAATATAAAAATGTAAACAGAATGCAGTGTTTTGCAAATCTCATAGACCCATATTTTATTCACAATAGAACATAGAACACATATCAGATGTTAAAAGTGAGACATTTTACCATTTCATGAAAAAAATTAACTCATTTAGAATTTGATGGCAGCAACGCATCTCAAAAAAGTTGGGACAGGGGCAACAAAAGGCTGGAAAAGTAAGTGGTACTAATAAAAAACAGCCAGAGGAGCAATTTGCCAACTAACTCACATGACTGGGTATAAAAAGAGCATTTTAGAGAGTCTCTCAGGAGCAAAGACGTGCAGACGTTCACCAATTGACGAAAAACTGCGTCTAAAAATTGTGGAGCAATTTCAGAAAATTTTCAACATAAAATTACGAAGACTTGGCATATCCCACCATCTACAGTACATAATATCATCAAAAGATTCAGAGAATCTGGAGAAATCCCTGTATAGTATGCAAGGGACAAGGCCGACAGTCAATATTGGATGCTCGTGATCTTCGGGCCCTCAAACGGCACTGCATTGAAAACAGGCAGGATTCTGTACTGAAAATCACTGCATGGGCTCACAAACACTTTGAGAAATCATTGTCTGTGAACACAGTTTGCCGTGTAATACACAAATGCAAGTTAAAGCTATATTGTGGAAAGAAGAAACAATATATAAACAGGATCTAAAAACACCACCATCTTCTCTGGGCCTGAGCTCATTTAAGGTGCTCTGAGGTGAAGCAGCAAAGTGTCCTGTGGCCCAATGAATCAAAATTTGACATTCTTTTTGGAACTAATGGGTACTACATCCTCCAGACTAAAGTCCTTCCAGCTTGTTATTAGCACACAGTTCAAAAGCCAGCATCCATTATGGTATGGGGGAGCATTAGTGTACATGGCATGGGTGTCTTTGTGACATCTGTGAAGTCACCATTAATGCTGAACGAAATATACAGGTTTTGGCAACATATGCTGCCATCCAGACAACATCTTTTTCACGGAAGGCCTTACATATGTCAGCAAGACAATGCTAAACCACATAGTGCATCCATCACAACAGCATGGCTTTGCAGAAGAAGAGTCCAGGTGCTGAACTGTCCTTCCTGCAGTACAGAACTTTCACCAATAGAGAACAGTTGGGGCATCATGAAATGAAAAATCCAGCAAAGAAGACCCAGGACTGTTTAGCAGCTAGAGTTCTACATCAGACAAGAATAGGACAGCATTCTTCTCCCAAAACTCCAGCAATTGGTCTCCTCACTTCCCAGACGCTTACAGACTGTTGTTAAAAGAAGAGGGGATGCTACACAATGTAGGCAAGGCCCTGTCCCAACTTTTTTGAGATGCGTTGCTGCCATCAAGTTCTAAATGAGTTAATGTTTTTCATGAAATGGTAAAATGTCTCACTTTCAACATCTATATATGTGTTCTATGTTCTATTGTGAATAATATATGGGTCTATGAGATTTGCAAATCATTGCATTCTGTTTTTATTTACATTTGGGGTTGTACCATATAGGTGCACTTTGTAGTTTCAAACTACTCACCGTCCACTCTATTAGACACTCCTAGCTTTTTGCTTCACCTCGTAGATGTAAAGCCAGAGACAGTAGCTCATCTGTCACTTCACAGTTTGTGTTGTCTCTAGTCCTTCATCCAGTGGTCACAGGACGCTACTCACAGGACACTGTTGGCTGGATATTTTTGGTTGGTGGACTATTCTCAGTCCAGCAGTGACACTGAGGTTGTTAAAAGCTCCAGCAGCACTGCTGTGTCTGATTCACTCATACCAGCACAACACACACTAACACACCACCACCACGCCACTGTTACTGCAGTGCTGAGAATGATTCACCACCCAAATAATACCTGCTCTGTGGTGGTCCTGTGGGGGTTTTGATCATTAAGGAATGGGGTAAAGGTGGGATAACAAAGTATGCAGAGAAACAGAAGGACTACAGTTTGTAATTGCAGAACAACAAAGTGCACCTATATGGTGAATGGAGCTGATAAAATGGACAGTCAGTATATATACAAGATAATTGTACCTAATAAAGTGCTCAGTGAGTGTGCACACACACGCAATTCACATATGCATACAATCTGGACCTGAGATACACACACTGCCATTTACATACAGAGTTACAGAGTTAGAAATGCTGAAGGAAACACTAAACACAGTGCATACAGTTGCATAGAGTCCCTTCATCTACTACTACTACAGTTGCCCACACTAATATCAAAGCTGTTCTAAAATCAGCTACTCTAAGCTACATGTTTAAAATCTCTGACATATTTCTTGGAATTAGGGCTAAAACGGCATTTTTGTGGTAATTCTAAATAAGACCATTTATCCCACCCTTCATGCTTGGGTCACGGGTCCGGTATGGGCCAGTAAACCCGTCACGTGTGGCAAATATTCTTCTAACAAGAGAGACAAGGTGCCCAAAAATAGCTGGACCATTGTACAAAAATAAATAAATAGACATTTAAAGTTGCAATCACAGTTTGGAAAAGCTAATTTTCTTAAGTGTAAATTTGTTGTATTCCTGTTGAACACCTTTTAAGCGTTCAAGATAATGGAGACCATTGTTCAGCTGTTCCTAATTATATATTACACTATGTGCTATGCAGCCCTTTTAAAAAAATAAGTGTTCAAGTCCACTGTTGTTATTATTACACACTTCATTGATTACAGTCCTTCCGACCTTTCCAAACTGTACTATCAAGTTGTTTTTTTTTCTTTTTTAAATAGTGTACAAGTATATAAATAATCATTGTAGTTTTTCAAAATAAGTGAAGTAATCTGCTACCTTATGCTTGTAATTTGTAATATTTTGTGCGTAGGCCACGTACAAATAATGCCAGGTTCTTTCAGTCTGTGTTTGTTTAATACCTGTGAGGTGGTCTCACAGTGACTAGTTCTGAGACACAGTGTCACTGATGCCATTAACTGCAAGTCACATAGGCAAGTCTCAGAGCACTTTGTGGTTCCACTTCAAGAGTCTTTCTGACAAATTCTCTTAGTGTAATCCCCTCTCTCTCTCTCTCTCTACACACACACACACACACACAAACACACACATACACACACACACACACACAAACACACACACACAAAAGCTCACTCACTTTAAGAAAGTATCTGTGTGTGTTAAGGCTTTTGGGTGTCTGGCTGGTTGACAGAAGGGCAAAAAGAAAAAGAAACGTGTGTGTGTGTGTGTGTGTGTGTGTGTGTGTGTGTGTGTGTGTGTATGAGACACAGAGCATCCTCTGCTTCTTCCACAGGCACATTACTGACCCCTGGCCTGCCAATTCCTGTATTATTTATTTTGTTTAGGTTGCATTATTCTGAACATGGCTTACGGAAAAGAAACATCTAGTTCTCCACATTAAAAGCTGTTTGGGAGCCCCTGGTCAAATGACGTTGTGATGGTTTTCCAAGTAAAAAGTATGCATCCTATACAGAGAACACACTTCTGCACATTTTAATGCAAAAGCACTGTTTATTCACTGTATTTGATGTATTGGGGAAAAATATAAAACATAAGATTTAAACTGTAGAGGTTATGGCACAGTTTACATGTTCTAATAAGTTAAAAATCAGCAAACAGAAAATGAAAAAGCAGAAAACCATATGTAATTTAACCGGAACTGTTGAAACTTTTGCATACGACTGTACCGTGCTGCTTGTCAGTAAACTTAGAGCTGGTCATAGCTGTGTGTATATGTATGTGTGTGTGTTTGTGTATAGTTAGGCAACAGATAAAACACATTTTTTAGGCCCTGCAATAAAACACATTTTTTATTTACACATTTTTTTTTTTTGACTGGTTTTGTTTGATTGTTTCAGAGTCCACTGTTTCTATTTTACATTGTTTTTTTTTTATGTAATACAGAAATTTATATCATGAATTATGCTATTAGCATAAAAACATGAGTGAAAAGTAAAATCTTTTAAGTATTTACAGGGATTTCAGAGTAGTATTTGATATGCCCCTCTTTTGCTTTAATCGCTCTTGCATGAACTCTGCAAGTTTGTGCAAAAGCCTGATTTAGCTTTAATCACCTGAGCGTTCTGTGAACATGTGCTTCGTTGGAAGGGACAAGACTCAACAAACTCTGATCTTGTTGTACAAAGGCCTTAACATGGTGAATTCATTCAGTTTTCTTTGTTTACGTGTTTCAGAATTCTTAAGCCTTTTATTGTTTCCAGATTTTCAGTGCGGTCACGGAGCTTTAGACCCTGCTGTATCTTAATAGTGCTTGTCACACATGGAAATCAGTCTTATGAGAGCAAAAAAGATGTAAGGTGTGGCCTTTCGATGTGAGTGACTGTTGTGCATGCACTCGTGTGTATGTGTATGTGTACGTGTGTGTGTGTGTGTGTGTGTGTTTGCAGGCGTCTGTGTCTGTGGCTGGTTGTAGCTGTTTGACAGAAGGTGTCTCATCACCCAGTCTGCCTAAGCACATGTTTGTGGGCTAAATCTATCCATTAGGGACTCAGCCACACAGATGTCTGGCGGGGAGCTCTGGCACCTGTCGTATGTGTATATATGTGAGTGTTTGTGCATGTGCCTTTGTCTGTATAGTGTATATGCAGATGTGTCATTCCTCATTTATCAGGACCTCCTTGTGTTCTCTGAAGCCTCCTGTGTCCAAATGGACAGCAGCTCCCCATATCTTTCTCTCGATTTGTCTCTTGCTTTCTGGAGGCCTCAGCTGGCTTGTTTTGTTTCACACTCTCAGCCTCGTTTTTCTTGATTACTGAAGAGGAATTACAACGGAGAGCTAAAGAGGCAGAATAAAAAGGACAACAAAGCAC